TTCAAAGTTCTTTTTATGTATATATTCTTTATTAAGCTAAACAATATTCTAAAAATAAAAAGGATCATTATAATTTAATTGTTAATTAATTAGTTTAAGATGAGTAATACTTGCTTATACCACAATTTGCATCTAGTAAATATAAAATTAAATAATTGAGTTAAGACCTAAATAATTTTTATATTTTGAACAATCGCAAAATAAAAATTGTAGAGTTACGGCTTATTTTTTTATTATTGTTATACTAGTCCTGATCAGTACCAGGAAGAAATGAGTTAAACATACAAGGATGTAAGAACAAAAAAGTTTAGTTATACGATTAACCTTTAAAAAGCTGATAAGTTTTTAAAGATTTACTCTTTGTAAATATATTACCGAGTGGTGTAATTCTTGGGGCTTAAAGAAAAACGAGATGTTGCATAAAAATAACCTTGCTGTTTTGTTCAATTTTTAAAAAAAAACTTACTTTTTTGGTGCTACTAAGAACTTTGAAACACGGAAATAGAATTTTGGTGTATTAAAAGTGTGGGGCATATTTTCTCCCTTGTGCCATTACTGGGTTTTTTCAATTATACGATGCAGATGAAACCGATCCAAATTTTTCAACTTTTCATCCCTTCTTCAATGTTGCTTTAACTTCTTTAATTAATTTTGACGAACTGTAGCTAAATTATACTGTTTCTAGCGGACTGTTTAATGAAAAAGAACCCCTGTTTGCTATAACAGGCTTATCATTTTACAATATTTCCATAGCTGTCAACCAGGAAATTTTAGCTTCCCAGAATATAGCCAAATATCACTCACTAATTAACCCGGTAGCCAAATATAACTCTAACTATATACTATACGTAATATTCCTTTATGAATAAATGTGGTTGGTTCTCATGAATAACTCTCACTTATATGGACAACTCTTTTTATTATTAACATATATAAAAAGAATATGAAAAAAAGGGTAAGTTAGTGACATAATTTTATCTGACTTCTCAAGCCAGTTTCGAGAACGCTTCTCTCTTATTTTAATTAATTACTTTTTCGGAGGTGAGTGTGCGAAGCGCCCTCGGGCGAAGATGTCCGCACACTACGCTATACTAACAAAGAACTTGAGATTAGGTCGAAAATTCTGACCCCTAATATTAATTTCACTTTTTGCGGATTTAACTAAGAACTTTTTCGCTATATCTCCGAAACTTAAGCATCATCGCAGGATACAAATTAAAAAACTTTTGCACACAATTAGGAAATTCGTTTATAAAAAAATAATCCCGCTTAAAAAATAATTCGTGATAATTATTTATTCAAAAATAATTGTACAAATTTGCATTGCATATAATAGTTTTTTTTAACAAAAAACTTTTATACTTCAAGACCAATTTCGTTCTAATTTTAAAGTTTTTAATCATAGTTTAATAAAATAAAAAATAATATTTATTAAATCATGAAGTTACCGTTGCATAAATGAATTGTATAACTGCGTACGAAAAGTTTTTGGTTCATCTTAGAAGTTGCCGAGATATAGTGCAAAGAGAGATTTTACAATCAGGGGCCCACATTTTTGACTGTTCTCCTGCCAGAGTTTTTAGATTACAGGTGTCCGCCTCCATATTTTATTGTCAAGAATCGAAAGAAAGAATCTTTTATGCGTCTGATTTCCCAATTTAATTCATAGAAAATGTGTTGATAACGATAAATTTTATGAAATTTTTGGTTTAGTTGTGAGCGCTACGTTTAATAATAACGTTTTCATTAATAATGTTGATCCAACACTTTGTTTTTTGTAATTAAAATTTTGTATACAGAGTTTGTATCGAATTTCGGTAAGTTATTCGTTGTAACAGACCACAGTCATTTTGTTTTTATTTTATACTTATAAAACCCACTGCAGCTAAAATGTCAGCGTTTTTGAATGATTAAATACGAATAATTTCATGGTATCAAATAATATCTGCAAGTTTCAAAGACCGGCAAGCTTCAACGAACATCTATCAAAGAAGAGGAACATGAAAGTTAAATCTAATTTTTGTACTTTGCAAGGTTCACCATTGCTTCTATTATTTAATATTTCTGTTTTGCATGCAAGGTGTTCTTAATGGAAATTTCTTGATTGAGCCCATACTTTTGAAATGGTTATTTGGCTTGTTGGGTTTGTTAGTTGGTTAGCTTTTTTTCTTCACTTCCCGGGTATAAATAATTTAAAGATTTAAAAAAAAACTTTGTCGTTAAATTTTAACAATGATTATTGTAAAATATAAAATAGTTCTTCAGATTGCTATAATAATAAAACTTTTAATGATTGTAGCCATTATTGTATTTTGAATTAAAATAAAATTCCGGTTTTCTTAATTCGGCATCTTATATAGCTATGTACACCCAAAGGCTTATAAAATAATGTTAATGCTGTGTTTTTATGGGTATTATTTTAAAATAGGCTCAATTGAGGATTTATCCTGGATTTAAATCAATATAAGTTTACTAAAAATACTGAATCATTATCATTTTATTTTAACAGTATCTTCAAGAAAGGTACATGTATGTCTTTTGCTTGTTTTATTGAAATTAAATAAATAAAAAAAAAACAGTCATACATATATTTATTAAATTTCCTCTTACTGTAAACAAATCTTAATCAAACATCACAACAAATTCTTGATTTGTCATATGAAGTAATTAAAAGAGTAGATACAATAGAATGAAGTATTAATATCATTTATTAAATGACAATCAAAACACAAAAATACACATCAAACGCAGAGCAATAATGAAGCTCGAAATACCTAATATAAAAAAAAGAGTAAATAAATATGTCAAAGCACAAAAACTGGATCTTATAATAACTTGCATATTCAGTTGGTACAGGGTGCATAGGGGATTCATTGAATATACGGTGCAATAGCATACCTGCCAAGTTTTACCCTTTTTAACCCCTTAACGCACAGATTTTTTTTAAAAAAACCGGCCAATAAAATAATTTTTTTTTTTGTAAAAAAATTTATTCCGCTACTGGTTCAACTTTTCCTTTGGTGGACAATTTTGATTTACTGCGCTTTTGTTCCATAAATAAAGGCTATATTTTATTCTTGAATAAATAAGTGTTATAACTTACAATCCTATGTTAATGATAAATACCGATAAAACGACTTTTTTTCTTAGCTTTCACATTGTTATTTTCAATTCTCGATTATATTTGAGTGTGAAAAAAGTATAGCAGCATAAAATACAAGGCCGCTCAAATTATCTCGAGTGTGAAATGTTAGATCTGTTAAGCGTGCTCGAATTAACTCGAGCGCACAAGTTAAGGGGTTAAAGAAGTATTTCCCTAGTGATTGTAAAATATTAAAGTGACTTTAAAAGCAGATAATTCAAATATGGCATATACTTAGAGCACAATAGATATAAGTAAGTTTAAATTAATTACATTAAAATTAAATTTTTTAAAACGAGAATCAAATATGAATGAAGAAATCTTTATACCACATTAAATATAAAATAAAATCACGCAATTACAAAAGTGCTAAATCATCGTTTACTACGTTGAAAATATGTAGATAATTGAGTTTTTCCTTGTAAATAAATTTATTAAATTATCTTATCGTCATTTATTTTTTTATTCCTCATTTATGTATCCATTATATGATTATTTCATTTTACGTCCACGTAAACATATCCCACCCCCTTCATTCTCCTAATCAAATTAGATGGAGAAGTGAATAGCCCGGAGGGTTAGGCTTTCCGGATAAATTGTTGAAATCGATAGTGCTAAATTATAATTTGAAGTATCGACGTGTTTTTAAGATAAGGTAATCAAACTAAGAGATAGCTAAGTTCCTGAGGTTTGTTGAACCTGCGTTTATCTAAAAAAAAAGGTAACAGTTTCCATCGCAACTACCCAAAAATAAGATAATATTTTAACAAATAATAATAAAGATTTGGAACAGAAGTTCTGGCTACTATTCAAAATGATAGAAAAATTATTAAAAAAATTAAAACATGAAATATAATAGTTTAATAAATAAAATAGGACAAATTAAAAAAATTAATTTAAAGTTTCGACATATAGATTGAACAGTGTCATTTTGGAAGCCATGGTCTACAAATGAGTAATTGCCACACAATTTTTATGAGCAATAACAATTAAAAAACCACTTAAAGATCAACTTAAAAAAAGTTGGTTCTGTTGTATGTGCTAGATTTCTGCCTAAAGAAACAACCAAAAACTCTATCAGAAATGAAAAACTTTTACTAGTGAACAATTAAACATTGCATGCCGTTTTATTTATAATCAACCAGCGGGTGACCGAGCTCCGCTCGGAGAAAACAGGTATCGAAGCTAACTCGAAGATTTAAATTTTCAATTGTGATTTATCAAAACAATACATGCCATAAGAAAATTTGTGAAACCATTGGTGGAAAGATAACCGGTCACCATTGTAAACTATCTAAGCAAAGTTAGAGTTTGGAAAGGGAACTATTCTATACAAAGGTAAAGTTTGAAAAGTCATAGGAAATAAAATGTAATTGATAACAAAAAATTATACAATTAAAGAAATGGTACCCTAGTATTAGTANTTAATATTTCAATTGTAAGGTTCGCATTAGCATACATTTATAAGAGTGGAGAAAAGTATCTATAGCCATTATGGCGAACTAATAAAGTTTGAAAATATCCTATCTGTAACTCCGAACTGCTCGACCGTAGCGCTTCAAAACCGGCGCCAATCGATTCCTCGTGGCCAAAAACCCCAGACCCCCAAGTTTACCGGAGTTTATTAATTCTGGGGCGATTTTCGACTTGGCAACCATTCCTCGTATTATAGTATAAGATTCAACAAATTTACAACAAAGTACATCCAAACATTGTTTCCTAATTTATCATGTGTTGCTTGCTTCTTTTTTGCTTATTTCTTGACAAAGTAAAAAATCATGAACCGAAGCCGTACAAGCAATAAAACTTGATTCCTTTTACCAGCTACTAAATGTGTGAGTTATATAAATAATTCATATAGAATAATATTATTTGTAATTTTTTATATTCGCAATAGATGAACTTAGGATTACACAAGACCCTTTTTCATTGTTTTTTTCTTTCTTTCCTTTTTAGGGTGAAAGTCAAATATTCGCAAAATGTTTCTCTCTTGCATTTTGTCTTTACAAAGTACATCAGTACTATCTTAAATTCGTTTTACACCTGATAAGAGACATTTTGTAGCTATTTTAGAGTACCCTTCAGTAATAGTTGTCTTATTTGAAATTCATCTTGTATTTCTATGTGTGAATCGTAGCATGAGCGGTTCAAGGTTTCTGGAAACGAGGCTAGGAGAAACATTAACTTTATCTCTGGGATCTTTAGATGTTATTTCAAAATTCCGGAATATATTTGCGAGCACAGTCTTTTCTTCCATTAAAGCAAATTTTTGACCTGAAAGCATTGAAAAAATAATGTAATAAATATATTAAATACACTGAAGAGCCAAAAAAAACTGGTACAGGCATAAGTATGCAAAAAAAGGGGTATGGAGCCAATCAAAGTACAGCACTGCGATCGGCAACGCGTATATGAGACAACGAGTGTCTAGCACAGTTCTTAGATCGGTTCCTGCTGCTACAATGCCAGTAACTGATTTAAGTCAGTTTGAACTTGGTGTTATAGTCGGCGCACAGGAGATGGGACATAGCATCTCCGAGATAGCAATGAAATTTGGTTTTTCACGAGTATACCGTGAGTATCGGAAATCCGGTAAAACATCAAATCTACGACATCGCTGCGGTCGGAAAAAGATCGTGCAACGTGATGTTCAGAAGATATCCTCACCCCCTCTTTCTCCCACTGGTTTATGGACAGCCCTGCAGGATTCATGGTGTCAATTATCTCCAGCACTACTTCACACATTGATCGAATCCATGCCACGTCGAGTAGCGGCACTTCTGCGTGCTCGTGGAGGCCCCACACGATATTAGGCAGGTATACCAGTTTTTTTGGCTCTTCAGTGTATAATAATCTAACATTCATGAAGTATTGTTTATTTAAAATTACTCGCAGAAAAGATAATTTTTAAAGACATTTATCATTTGTTTACTTATATTTTTTACTGAAACATTACAACACAAACCAATTTTAGAAAACAGAAACAACTAAAGTAGATTTTTGTGCACCTTTTTCTTTCCGGTGAAAAATATTTCAGCTAAAGATTGTACCTGGTTTCGAAACAAGACGTATTAGTAAGTAATTTCAAACTTACAATCACAATATAATCTATTGTTATAATTCATTGATAGGTTTAAATTTTAAGAGCAAGAAAGATGATTAAGAAAAAAGTCTTTACTTTACCATATATTTAGACAGGTGAGGAATTGTTTATGTATAATAAAATGAGGATTTTCTCTGTCTGTGTGAGTCACTCTTCATACACCACAACCATTTGGCCTAGCGTCCTAAAATTTGCACAGTGGGCGAAAGGGGCAAATTCAGCTTTGATCTTAAAATTCTTTCAAAATTTTCCCATCGGTTATTGGTGAGCCATTGTTTTAAGTTAAATTATGGAGTCATTTTTTCAAATATTTTAAAGATAACATCAATGATCTTAGCTAGCTTATAGCTCTATTTGATAAAAAAAAAAAAGAGTTCGTTGCATGTTCCTTAACATTCGATTATTTTTTACTTATTAAGTCAAGTAAATAAAATGATCAATTTGAGCATAGCAACTTGAAACCTAAGTTATCTGAAATCATGCGTTTGTTTTCATTTTTAAACGTGTTACTATAAAACTAAATAACTTAAAATCAACTGTACTTAAATAAAAAGAAATAAGATATCTACGGAAAAGCAAAATTAATAAAGAAATATAAATTCGTTAAGGAGACATGTAAATGATAACTAACTTATTATTGACGCCAATGATGCTTAATAAATTTTGGCAATAGCTAATAAATAAAATACGAAAATAAACTATGTGCAAAATGGCAAAATTAATGGAGAAAACTTATTCATTTGGAGAGTCATGAAAAATTGTCATAGATATTGACACAGATCATAATTAATTAATTTTGGTAATGTTTAATGAAATTTAGAACGATTACAATTAAGAACGAAAAATTTAGAACGGTCTGTCTCCCAAGCACTTGCTATCCACATTTTACGATAATATTCTCAAACTATTTTGGAATTATAAGAGATACAAGCACATTTTTTCCTGTTATTATAATAGTTTGTATGCGTATAATTATGACACTACCTATACAGTTCCTTGGCCCAGCTGAGAAAGGCACATAGGCATATGGATGTCTTCCAGTTATGTTTTCGGGAAAAAATCTTTTGGGGTCGAACTTTTCTGGATCAGGGAATGATTCGGGATCTCTATGAAGCATAAATGGAAATATAAAGCAAACGCTCCCTTTTTCGACTTCGTAGTCCACTATAAAGTAAAAAAAAAACATATCAATATCTGAATGTGAAATTTCTGTAGCAGCGCAGTAAGAAAAGAAGCAAAAATTGATAAAGAAGTCAGGTTACATTGATGTATATTGTTGAGTTTAATAGTACAAAAGACAGAAAAACAGGAGAGATGAGGAGTAATTCAACATTCATTCAGGAATATTAACAGGAGTAATTCCGACGTGATAAATCTGACAGGAGTAAATCTGACTAATTCTAATCTAAATATTCTGAATTATTTGTTAAAGTCTCTAGAGCAAAAGTGACAATATTGTGCCAAATTAAAAAAGAATATTATAAAAGAATATTAAAAAAGAATATTAAAAAAGAATATAAGATGATAATATCAGCCTTTTCCTGAAAGATCCAGGAAAAAGGCTGACGGAAAAAATATTTACCAAACACAGAAGTTTTCTGTATTTGATATTTTTTCTTGATACCTCTGGAGCATAGGACGCGAGTTTATTTAAAAAAAAAAAGAAAAACCATATGAGGGTTGATAAAATTCAATGTAATGTACAGATAAATTTGGGTGCGGCATGCTCTTAAGCAAACTTTTATACTGCCGAGTGCTTATTTGGAAAATTTGGTTTAATGACACAAGATCCAAAAAAGGACAGACAGAGCCAAACGGAAGTTTCAAAGCGAATAAAAATAAAGTGCAATAAATTTGTGGTAAACAAAACATATAAAATAATGCACGGGTAGAATGAATCATTCAAAAGTGAATGAAATCAGATAAAATTAGTTGCAAGTTTTTGGTGCAAGAAGCTATATTCTCTGCCCAAGATATAGCTTCTTTGGTGCAAAAAGCTATATCCTGATGGTATTAAAACTCTGATGTGAACTTTTGAGAAATACTCGATGTCTTTCAGATAGTAACTAAGATTTCGATGTGGGGTATCACGAAGTAAAGTAGAATAAGAAGAAAGTCACAGTTATTAAAACACTGGGTTTAGATGTCCTTTATGGTTAATGGTTCATTGCAAATGAAAAACCGTAAAATAATTATTTATAATTTAAAATAGCAATTATGCGTAAAAACATCAAAATCTTAAAATTATAAGCATTACTCAACAAATTTTCTTGAGATAAAGAGAACTACCAAAAAAGCCTGAGACAATACAATTAAAAATGCACTTGATATGAAACATAACATTAGATCAACGTCACAAAAAACTGCAGTGGAGGTTGCACCACCCAAAACAGCAAATCTATATGAATCAACCAAGTATGATCAATTCGAAATCTACGCTATCACAACATAAGAAAGGAATCCAAATCAGGTTAAGAGTCGCCAGTAAAGTACTATCGTCCTTTAAATTCAATCCCGGAACCAAATAAAATGTTTCTTTCTATATTAAAAAATTTTAAGATCCTCCGCCGACGCCACTGTTTTGGGTGTTGTACACTAGAACAATAATGTTACAAATTGAGGATCTTCCTTTACGAAAACCGTTCTAGAAGTTAGGTATGAGATAGTTTGGTTTGAAGTTTGTATACCCGGCGGGAGTTTTACATTCACTCAAACGTTTTACTAAGACAGAAGGTTAACGCCTTTGGGCGATAACTAACTGGATCTTTGGGATCTTTACCTGGTTTAAAAATGTCATCGCTTCACCTTTGTTCCGTCCATACTCTATTGAACCACGACAGGATGCTTTCGAATGACCAAACCTTTGACAATGAAAGCATCCCAAAAGCTTTGTAACATAGGAACGGACAAGACAGTTATACAATGCTAGTTTAACAGCAGATAGTGAAGGTGGAGTGTCAAATGTAAAAATAACAGTTTCGTAGGAATGAGTAGTCCATTCCATCGAATATTAATCTTGCAGAACACTGGAACATGCTGGTTTTGCAGGTTCTTTAAGTTTATTTCTGCGGATCATCTATAAATTTAAATACGTATGTGTGGGGAGTGACAGTAATTATAAATGAGCATATGTTTGAACACTAAGATGTTGCTCTTTTTTCAGATGATGCTTGCACCGAGAGATCGCCGTAACGTAACTTTCTCACGGTGACTCCCTCTGTGGTGAGAAGAGCAATGTATTTCAAGATTGGTAAAACTTTAGAAGATGAGATGTTTGGTACAACTGGATTGGTCAACGTTATGAGAAAATATCAAGCGTATACCCTTTCAATGAAAGGGGAGTTTAATTTCAGTGTAAGAAATGTTTCGCTTTTCTTGCATTGTTGTGTGGAAAAAATGGAATTATTGTATAAATGTCAATAAATGAAATATTAATAAGTATGTACTTCAATTTTCCGGGGCTATTTGTTCCTTTAAATGAAATAACCAACAGTAATGTTTTGAAGTGTTAGGTAAGGAAATATTTTTTAAACTTTTCTAATTTTTACTTCACTGTCAATTTAAGTGTACATAGTTGTACCTTGGAAGATCGCTATTATTATTATTTTTTACTTACACACTTTGAAGCTTTCTCTAACTTCTCTACCTATGAAAGGCACTGAAGGATGTAATCTAAGAGTCTCCTAAAGCAAAAAAAAAAATGAAAAAAAAATAAAAATTTCTTTTTTAGAAATTGCAATATTTCGATATTAAAGTCTTGAAATTAAATTATACCTTAATGACACATTCCAAGTACTTCATACGCATCAAGTCATCACGATCAATATCTCTTTCATTATCACCTTCAAATATTCCATCCAATTCTTCGTGTATTTTTTCTTGTACGTGTTTATCTAATCCAACGAAATATAATGCCCAAGAAATGGCCATAGCTGTTGTATCATGACCCTAAAAATAAATTTTAAAACTAAATTTCTGATCCTAAAAAGTTTCCTTTTTTTAAATGTTTCAAAGCAAATATGATATACAGAATAATAAAATTTAATATGATGGAAATACAGTGCCCGAAGCTAATAAAATCACCGGATAATAAGATCAGCCACTTTATAAAATCAAATCGGCAAGAACCGAATCGTTACAATATTAATACATGTTAAAAACAACCTTTAATAAAATCAATGCCGCCGCTTTTTAAAATCAAAATTTTGACTACATAATAAATCAAAGGTGCAATATTTCAGCTTTTTTTGTTCTTATTTATAAAATTTTACTTTTTCGAAGTTTGAAGATTTTTTTAGAAGAAGCAACAGTTACTCACAAACCTGTGAAACAGGTGTGGTTAGCACTTTCCTGTAATATACATAGTGTAAGAATTAAGGAAAAATGTGGGTGGTAGGCGGCGAGTTCATAGAAATCAATTTCTCAATGTTAATTCCTAGACTTGAATGAAGTTTGGAGAAACCTATCTCACTCAACAGGGGGTCGAATTCTTGTCTTACTTTTTATTGAATGAACCATAGAAAGGAGCCAAGTTTCTTTTGTTATCTATCTTAACAGAGAACATGAATAGATTTCCAAAAACTGTCTGTGCACATGTTCCATATTATTTAAGCCGTTTGAGTAAATTATAGTTTTTGCACATATCATTTTTAAGTTCGTTTGGTGTTAAATTTTATCAGCATGCTGAAAAAGAAGGTTTTGAGTCTTAAAGATAAATTCGAAGTGTCGCAAAACTATGATAAGCTTCCTAAATGTAGTCAACGTGAAGCTTCAATGGAGATGACGATAGGGCTCATAACTGTTTCGAAGAAATGATCAGCAATGAAGAAAATGAAATGGACGAGAATTTTTCACGTTACGTAGCTATTGACGATAACCTGCAAACATCAGGAGAAAAATCTGACTCTAAAATTGTTACAGATATCAAAAATTGCAAAGTTATTTCCCATCAAGAAATGGAGGAATCAGACTCAGAAGATGAAATAAACTCATCAGTGCCATCTTCAATGGAAGTCAGAAAAGCACTTAATGTATTGCGGCAAGCTTTAGAACAAAGAGGAGGAATATCGAAAACTATAAAAACTTCTGTAAACTCTCAAATGATGTTGAAAAGTTAATTTTAATTACTGCAACTCAAGCAACCATTGATCGGTTTTTTGCAAATTTTTTGTAAATTTAATCTTATGTAGGGTTTTATTTTATTAAAGTAATTAAATTAGTTAAAATAAAGCATTAATGTGGTCATTATTTCAGCTTTTAAAGTGCGTGCATTTAGAATATATCGTAAATTTTTTTTTCAAATGTTGAATCTCCTCTTAATAAAATCAGCCGCTTAATAAAATCAAAAGAGCATAAAACGAAAGTGATTTTAATAAACGGCGGGCACTATTATATTTTATTTTATCACTAAAAGCTACCAATCCTAGCCCTCTTTTTTGTTTTCACAACAATGATTATTATTATTGTTATATATTAGACGCTTATTTTTATATTTGTCACTATTTAAATTTTTTTTTATCTATAAATTTGTGATGTTTAATGTGGTAACAGTTTAGGACTTAAATTTGAGTTTGTCATTTTTGATTTCAAATTTTTAAAAATAAATAATGCTTTCTGTTGATGATGGCTTTGTTGTATGCCGTTTACTTTTTTAATGGCATTTTATGACTAAAGAATGAGCCAAGCTTTAAAAACAAAAATTTAATATGATTAAATTAAATACTTTAGAAACAACCAACTTTATGTTATATTTTTCTTTCAAGCAACTTTGAAAAGGATCCAACATAAAATTGGTCCATAACATAAATAAATAAAATTAACTAAGATTTAAAATATCAAAATTTACCTTGTAATGTACTCATCTATTTAATAAAATTTTTTGTAGACTGGTAGATCTTGTTGTTGTAGTTAATTTACATCACACTAGAGCTTTGATCCTCGGCAGAGGGAATTTCACCCTCGCTTCGGTAGCCTAACGACCTGCTCGCAAAGTCGAGCACTTTACGGTAGAACAGTTTAACGAGGACCAATACCGCCCACCCTCGGTCTCTAAGCAGACTGATCCAAGTGGTCACCCACCACCGCAGCCAGTGATGCTTGATTTCGGGATTAAAAATGATGCAAAAGTAATTCTGGTAAAATGTATGGGTTTTTAAAATCAGATTCTGAAAATTACCACCTGTCGGTATAATACCGTATTTTATCGAAAATAACAAATTTCAAAAATGCAATCAGTGTCGTCTTGATCATTTAAGAAATTGCTTTTTAGTACACTCTAAAAACTGTACCTCTGATTTCAGAGGCATAGGCTAAATGTACCGTGTATTTTCTCGCGTAAGAGGCACATAACTAATGTGCCTTTAAAAATGAGAGGCACCACAACAAATTAAAGGCACCAAAGCAAATGCCAGTCAATGCGCGGTACGAAAAGACATTCGTGCCTCTCAAATTCGCTTCAATTCTTTTTCTTCGGTACGATCATGTAACGGAGAACAAGCGCATGCGCACATCAGTGAAAAATTTTATGACGAAATACGTTTTCTGTCCCCTCGCATCCACGCTACCGATGGAAGAAGTTTTCTACAAATGTGCTCTATTGATGTTATAAAAATGCTTGAATTTGGTAAGTTTAATACTTGTATCTTATTTTTATATTAATTCCTAAGTAACGACGGCATCTTTTTTATTAATACATTTCAATTTTTATTAGTGAATTATTAATGCTACAAATCTTATAAAAATGTTTAAGCGAGAGAGCTAACCCTAGTTATGTTTACATTTCTGTTGTAGTTGTATTATTTATGTTTTATCATTATAATATTAAGAGGAATGTTTTTAAAGTGCCCTATATTTGTTCTGTAGTGTTTGATTATAATTTTGTATGAGGTTTTCAATGTGGCGATTGCTATGAATAAGAAATCATTTTTATTTGAAATACCAATTTGCTTTTTTGTTTATCTTAGTTTACATTCGAGAGCTATCACAGAAATTCTCTCACAGAATGATTGAATAATTTAAAAAACAACGAAGAATGTTTTCGAATTTTTATTATAATTATGAAAAGTATACTTTCAATCATTAGCTATTTTAGAAAACAATTGACATTGATATCTAATTATAATTATTTCAAACTGTTACTAAACTTACAATTGATATAAACCTGAAGAAAAAAATAAGATTATGCTTTATTTATATTTTAAATATGGTGTAAGCATGGGAGAAAAAGGCAATCTTCTAATGATTTATAAATTTTTAATTAGTTATTATTTTTTTTGAAAAAGTA